TCAGAATCTCACTCCCTTCATAACTAACCACAGCTGTAATGGGGCATCAGTCCTCTGGGGAGTGTGGGGGCTCCGTGTCCAAACCTCTTAAAGGCTCTGCCTCTCGCACTATTGCTTTGGGGACTAAGTTTCCAACACATGAAGTTTGTAAGGCATGTTCAAGCCACCATTTCCAGAGACACCACTGCTGGGCTGCTGAACTGTGGGGAGCACCCCACGCTGTGTCACCTCCTGGTGTTTTCCTTTGTTGGCTGCAGTAGAAACGGGCTCTAGTGCAAGGGGAGGGAGGTTGTTGGCAGGACACTGGGTGACGGGAGGGGTGGGAAGGTGGAGCCAGCAGGGTGCAGGTGCTCCAGAGTCAGGGCAGCCCCAGACCTCTCAGCCCCACAGCTGTGACTACCCCTCCTCTCTGAGCCTCCCCACCGTCCTCACAGCACCTCTGACTCCCCCCCCCGACTCCCCCTTCTCTCTGAGCCTCCTGATGGTCCTCACAGCACCTCTGACTCCCACAATCTGCAATCTTCCTTTTGCACCTCAAATTCCCGTAACGGAAACTCTGATGGATAATCAGGTGTCCACCACTGGATTAACGTGTACAGGTTGTGAGTGTGTTCAATGAGAAATGTTCGGGACGCGTGTTAAGGCTTTGTGAAATAAAGGCCAAGGCTCCCCAGCTGACCAAACAGACCCGCCCCCCCACCAGGGGTACCCTAGGAAAACCTTGCAACTGTGCTGTCGTCCATGAGGAGACAGAAGGTCAGACACTCCTCAGTTGCCCCCTCACTGGTGGGGACATATCAGACATGAAATGATTAACAGGGCCCAAGGCCAGCCAAGGTGAAGGTTAAACCACACCTGCAGGTCATCAATTGCCTGAATAGACTCATCCCTGATTAACAGACTTCCTTAACTTACAACATTCCAAGCCTTTAGACAAATCTTCATCTCTTTAACCATTTACTAATCCAAGAAAAGTTGAGCCCACCTGTGATCTGGAAGCCCCTGCTTTGGGGCTGAGCTGACACGCACCTTCCAGGCCCTGACTCCGGGTCTCAGGCGTGATTCCTTCCTCCATGAAGGTGTGAAACCCAGCGGTGACCTGGCCGCCTCAGGCACATGTTCTCAGGACCTCTGGAGGCCATGTGCTCTGGGCTATGGTCACGCACGTTCAACTCAGAATAAACCTCTTTAAGTTGTTGTACAGAGTTTTGGTTTTTTCCTGTTAAAGGTGGGGTGAGAAAGACTTTTCTCAAGGGACTGTGGCATTAGGTATAGGGACCACCGCAATGGGGTCTCCAAATAGGAGAGGGACGCTGGACTCAGATCTGACTCCAATCAGGACCAGTGGTGGGTTATAATCTAGTAGTGGGGGCTGGAAGGGGGTGGTCAGCAGGTGGAAAATCACCAAGAGGAAGCCTGAGAGGAAAGGGAGGATTTGGGTGGAGATGAGGCAGAAATTCTGGAATCCCCAGAGCAGCGTCATGGCACTGTGCTCACCTTGCCCACCCCTCCCAGCTCTAATGACCAGGGGTCCTCCGTGGGGTGGGGATTTTCCACTCTCCACGTGGTTCCAGGACCCATGGCTGCGGCTGCTCCCCAATGACTTGAGGGGCAGGAAGGAGAGAGGGGTTTCCACATGTTCAGGTCAGTGGGTGCGAGTGGACGGCCCCAGAGAGGATCCTGCACAGGCGAGGGTACCCCAGTGTCCCCTATGATGTCACTAAAGTTAGACATTATCCGCCCATGGGGACACCTGGTCTCAGTCCTGTCTTCCTTTATTGGGGTTACCAACCATGAGATTCCTCCTCCCTTAAATTGTGGTAAAAATTTAAAAATGATTTCTCATGCCAACCCAGGAGACTCCTTTGCACAGATGTGGAAAAGGAAGATGATTCTCCTACGGGAGAAGGGAAACCAGGCTGCAGTGAGTGTCACAGAGATCACAACGTCAAAAGGATTCTGGCCCCTCTGCACAGCAGGTGCAGCCCATACAGGCAGGTCCTCACAACAAGCACTGGCACGTACTTATGTCAGAAGGCGCGATGCTGTCACCTGCACCAGCCTGTCAAAGCACAGCTCTAAATTCAGCTGGTGATTGGAGGAGCCATTTGTGCCATTAATCACCTTTATCAAATTTCTCTGTAGCAGGAAAGGCAGTCATAGCCTGGAGCAAGTCATACCGGAGAAAAGACACTATGTCTCCTGATGTTTGCATTTCAAAGACTTGCCTCTCACACCCTGAAGTAAACACTCCTTCCTTGTAATTCCAGAGGCTTGGCTCGCTTTTAAAAAGGTTGACAGGGATATCAAAGGGACTGAGAAAGGATTTACAAATACAAGTTTTCTCAAGGAAATGCTCTTTAAAAATGGAGGGGGAGCAGGGCAGGTGAAAAGGTCTCTACTCTTTTGACAACAGAAAAAACTCAGTTGAAACTTAACGATCAAGGAGGCGTGATACTGACAGAAGGACTTTAAGGAAGTGAGTTGCACTTACACCTTCTCTCCTCTAAAGAACACATTTGGCTGGTTATTAAGTGTAAGTGTCTGTTTTCACTTTCCACAGTAATAACTTTACATTAGTTATTAAGTGTAAGTGTCTGTTTTCACTTTCCACAGCATTTGGTAAGAAATGAATCATGTGTTTAAACACCAAAGGCTTGCCTCATCCCTGAACAGTCCTATGACCCAGAGAGAAGTGTGATATTGGTCTGTCTGAATTCTTGCCAGTGTGATTCTTTTTTTTTTCTTTTATTAAGTCATATATACATAGATCACGAATACATTCATGCCTGTATGGGATTCAATGTGTTGATTATTTGTACAAATTGGAGTGCTTACATCCTACTAATTAACATAGCTTTCACCTCATTTACTTAATCACAGTGTTAAGACGTTGTGTTCTATACTTGATAGATTGGACTTGGACCCTTGCAATATGCTCCATAGGTGTGGTCCCACTGTTTACCCTCCCTCTATGAAACACTCCCCTCCCTTCTCATTCCCCTCCCCTTCCCTGAGTGAGTGATTATAAATTGGTTTCATAGTAGTACTGAGTACATTGGATTTTTTTTTCCATTCCTGAGATACTTTACTACGAAGAATATTTTCCAGCTTCATTCATGTAAATATAAAAGAAATAAAGTCTCCATTGTTTTTTAATGCTGTATAGTATTCCATGGTATGCATATACCATAATTTATTAATCTATTCATGGGCCAGTGGGCACTTGGGCTTCTTCCATGACTTGGCTATTATGAATTGAGCTGCAGTGAACAATCTGGTGTGAATATCTTTGTTGCCGGGTGATTTTTGACCTTTTGGATATACACCTAGTAGAGGAATTGCAGGATCAAACGGCAGGTCTACATTTAGATCCCGAGTGTTCTCCAAACTTCTCAATACCCAAAATACTACCAGAACCAGTGTGGTTTTAATGCATCAGGAGAGCCAGACATGGGGTCTGCTCCTGGGGAAGGAAGCTGAGCAAGGCAGGACGGGAGGGCCGAGCTTGGCATCAACACCCCGCTGGGCAGGGGAAAAGGTCCAGATGGACTGAACTGAACCGTGCTCTGCACAGGGCAACTCAGTATTTTAAAAGGAGAAAGGGGAACATGAAGGGTGAGCAAAGATTCAATAGAGCAAGGAAGGGAAAAATTAGAAAAAGCAGCAGGGCGTGGAGGGGGGGTGGTCTTGTGCTTGGCACAGGTTCTGACTTCACACGCCTGTCCCTCCTCTGGCTCAGCAGACCTTGGCTCTTTCTTCCATCTCCACAGGACATATGAATGTGCTCGGGCAATGTGGCAGCTGGCCAGGTTCAAAAGCTAACCAGTGGGTCGAGATCACCACTGCACATGCGATAAGGGAGTTGCAGACAGTTCATTTGCTTATGTGAAACCGAATTCTCTGGAATGGTAACAGTCCGAATGTGTGGAAAGAAGAATAACTGGAAGGCAGAAAATTCAGTGACCTTAGCCCTACACTGAGGCTCAGGGCTGCCAAAAAAGAAATGCTGTCGAGCTAGCCAGGCCGTGCTGCTCCAGTGAACTGTTAGGAGGACGTTTCCCTCAGGACTCACCGTTCCCTTGCAAAGAAATGAGCACTTCCCTACAGACGCCTCTCCTAGCACCTGCCAAGGACGACCCCCACGGAGCTAATCCTAAATCACTTGATTTTATGGAAGTAAAGAACTGAGCTTACATCCTACTTACCTGCGTTTGGGAATGAAAATTCGTGTAAACAATAAATAGATGACATTTTTGTTTCGCTCTGAGAACTAAAAGCAGAGTGGTTTCCTCCTGGACGTGGTGAAGCTGCTCTCAGTGGAGCAGAGGCTGGGTGATACCAGTGCTTTAGACACAAAGGGGACCACTGCAATTTATCTTTTGAGAATCGAAGAATTTTTCTTATAGGTTAATATAACTCTCTATATAGTAAAAATGTTTTTTATTAACACGCTGCTTTATCCCTTGCAATCTGCTGTTTCACTTACCCTATGATTTAAATTGTCCTTCAAGTTCACCTCAAACCCAGGGAGTCTATATGAGTGGAAACAAAGATTTATCCCCCCTCATGACTTTATTTGTCCAGGAAGAGACAAACCACACCTTCCAGCACTTTGCTCCTCTTCCCGAGTATAGAATGGGCCTCTCACCTTCCCTCGGGAGTGCTCTGTTTTGGATGCAACTTGTAGTAAGGATTAGAGAGAGTTCACGGATTGGCATAGGCAGGAAGAGGGCGGAGCATCCCTGAGACACAGAAGGAAGATCAAGGCAGGAGACAGTGGGGAGAGTGACCCCGGCAGGAGACAGTGGGGTGAGTGACCCCGGCAGGAGGCAGTGGGGAGAGTGACCCCGGCAGGAGACAGTGGGGAGAGTGACCCCTGCACCTTGACCACCTTCTCCAGAAGCTCAGGGTCATCTTGCCTGGAGAATCGTGACAGACTGTTTCTATGCTGCCTGTGGAAAGTACAAGTCAAATTAAACCCAGGAGACAAGAGTTCACTGCTGAAGGCTGTTGAGATAATACAGTGAATTGTAGGGTATGAGGCGTTTGCAGCAAAGGGGTCCCAATCCTATGCCCAGGCCATGCAAATGGAGCATGGGCGTCCTCTGTCACATCCACGTGGACCAGTGTGAGCCCTCCAAAGGCTGAAAAGACATTCTGGCTTCAGGACTCCTGACACAAGGTGGTTCTGTCTGGAAAGGCAGCCTGGCTGGAGTCAGGAGACATCATCATACAAATTCATATCTCACTGCAAAGGAAAAGTAAGAGTTAATCTCAAATGGCAAAATAAAAAACAAGACTGAAGGTTAAGCCTGGAATTTAATATGGTTAATTGTGCAGAGGTCAAGTGAAGGCCGTGGGTGGAGGTTAGAGTTTGGGGGATCTGCCAGGAAGGCAAATGTTTACCCTTTTGAAAGTAAACATTTCTCTCGGATTGCAAAAGTGAACTAGACTTTGAAAACCACAGACAGGTTTTAAAGCAATAACTGAGAAAATGACATGAAGGCTGTGTTGACCAGTTTGATGGAAGTATTTCAGATTGCATGTGAAAACCCCACACTGTACCCCAGAAGTGCATTAATGTACATAGTTACCATTCAATTAAAAAAAAAAAAAGAAAGAAAGAAAACCACAGACAGAATTGTAGGAATAATCTCTTAGTTAGCAAATAAAATAAAAGAAATCAGAGATTGGAGATTAAAAAATCATTTGTAGTTGCAATTTTTATTTATTTTTATTTTATTTTATTTTTGCAGTGTTGGCCTGGGCCGGTCTTGAACCTGCCACCCCCAGTATATGGGACCAGCACCCGAATCCTTGAGCCACAGGCATTGCCGGTGGCTGCAATTTTTAGAAATCATCACTATCAACAACTTATAGTCTCGTCCCTATGATACAAGTGATGTGGCAAATAACATTGTTGATTATAAATAATAGGTACTCTGCTCTCTTCACTAACACATCAAAAAGTCCTTAGTCCTATACTTCAAAATTTTTCATGAATACAAAATTCATACTCTTTTGTTTGTAATCATCTCATAATATTCTATTGTATCAATGCACAGAAGTTAACCAAACTACTCGAAAATGTAATAGTACTTTAACATTATTCCGGCACTTTTCCCCCATGAATAAGGTTGAACAAAGTCTTAAATTAAATGTGATGTTTGTCTGCCTTGTGGCAAATTTAACGGTGTTTTCTTTTGCTTAAGACAGCGTCTCAGTATGTCGCCCTTGGTAGAGTACTGTGGTGTCACAGCTCACAGCAACCTCAAACCCCTGGGCTTAAGTGATTCTCTTACCTCAGACTCCCAAGTAGCTGGGACTACAGGCACCTGCCACAGTGCTCGGCTATTTTCTTATTGCAGTTGTCATTGATGTTTAGCTGACCCGCGCCAGGCTTGAACCTGTGCTATGGGTGCCGAGCCTTGACAGTGGTTTTCTAAAGCTTTCCTAACAGCTGAGGGATCCCAGGAGCTCCTGGGCCTGGCTGCACGTTGCAAGGCGCTGCCCTGCTGAGTGGCACACGCAGGACCTCTCACCACACACTTGCCAAGGCCATACCCTTGTCAGGCCTGGATGGTCTCCTGAGGACACAGCGCAACAACAAAATACAAACAATATTTTGCTGATGGGAAAGTTAAAGATTCTCCTCTTTGAGTTTTAACTTGCAATTCTTTATTGGGGTCATAATTTGAAAAATGCTCAGTAGTCATCTCCTTACTTGTTGGTGGAGGGGTAAGAGGTGTGTGCTGTAAGACAGTTCATTGTTTCAAATTACGTTTAATCAAGAAGGGGTTCCCTGGGCCGGGCAGCTTCTAAGAGGGTCACCTGGTCTGTCTTTGTTCTGACCCCATTTACACGCTACGTTACATTTACAGATTTGCGTAAGCTGAGACATCCTTGCATCTCTGGGATGAAGCCCACCTGGTCATGGTGGGTTATTTTTCTACCAGGAAAATACAGTTTGCTAGGATTTTATTGAGAAAGTTCCATCTATATTCATAAGGGATGTTGGTCTGTAGTTTCTGTTATTCTGTTCCTGGCTTTGGTATGTATCAAGGTGACACTGGTATCTTAGGACAAGTTGGAGAGTATTCCTTCCTTCTCGATGTGATGAAATAACTTCTGCAATATGACCATCAGTTATTTTTGGTAGGTCCGACAAATTTCAGCTGGAGGAGTTCCTCTTTCATTGTACCTCTGAGTCCGGTGACTACATTGTGGTAATTGCCTCTTGGTGATAACCCGCCCAGGAGTCTGTTGAGCTCCTAGTACCGGAATCTAGTCCAGACCTCTAGCAAGACCTGGGAAATTTCTGTTAAGTATTTTCTCAAATAGGCTTTCCAGCCCTGGTGCGTCCCCTGTTTGTCCTCAGGGGTGCCTGTGGTTCTGACCTCAGGCCTCTTCACACAATCCCACGTTTCTGGTGGACTTTGCTCATTCCTCTTCCCTCTCTTGCTCTTTGACTGACTTGTTTAATTCAAACACGCCGACTTGGAGCCCTGAGATTCTTTCTTCTGCCTGGTCCAGCGCACTCTAAAGCCTTTCGAGTGTGTTTTATATTTCCTCGAGTGGATTTTTCATTTCCTGACGTTCTGCTTGATTTCTTTTTAAAGATTCTATTTCTAGATTCTTTTCTTGCATTGTTCTTATGGTTTCTTTCTGTGGCTTTTCTATTTTCTCTTGTATTGCATTAAACTTCCTTACAATCTATAGTCAAAATTCTCCTTTTGGTTGATTTCCACTGGCACAGAGCTGTTGTTTTCTTGGGGGGGGGGCCTTTGACTCTGATTTTTTTCATGTGTTTACCTTTTTCACTAAAAATGAGGGTGACTGAAAGTTATCACTGTAATTAAAACTACCAGATACAAGAGAAACAATTCTATATGCAAAGGATAAAAGAACATAGGATGTGTTTTGATAAAAAGGTTGTAAGATAAGGCAGTGTGGTTTTTGTTAAAAGGAAAGTAATTTTGCCTAGTTTCAAAGTTTTAGGGATTGTTGTAAATTGCTGAAATAAAAAGAATGATGGATAAAATGGAACTGATACAGAAAGCTGAGAAAAAGAGAAAAATTATAAAAGGTTTTTAAAAATATTACCTTGTGGGCTTGGTGTCTATAGTTCAGGGGTTAGAGCACCAGCCACAAGCACCATGGCTGGTGGGTTCGAACCCAGCCCAGGTCTGCATTCATGAGAAATGGTAACCCAACTTCAAACAGAGGCTGGACTAACAGAGAGCAGAAATAATTTTTTTTACATTTTGTTCAAAATATTGCTGATTTCTCATGGCTTATTTCCAGAGTCAAGAAAGCCTTTTTCTTGTGAGCTATTTACAGCCTCTAATAATTGAGAAAACTGGCAATATTTACCTTTCTCTCTCCACCTGATATCAGAATTTAGAAACTATTCGTGAGTATTCTTATTTTATCATAACATGCTTATTTGCATAAGTCCAACAATAGCCTATTTTCCTTTATAACAAGACACATTATGGACACTGATGGTTCTACTGAGGTTTTCACTGGGATGGCATATTACCGGGCAAGCCCAACTTACAAAGACCCTGTTGGACCCATCTCTATTCCTGTTGCAGTTTATGGACTTAATCAGGCCCAGGATAATAAGAGTAAAACTTTGTGCACACAAATTTGTCTTAAAATAATTTCTCTTTGGCTCGGCGCCTATAGCTCAACCGGCTAAGGCGCCAGCCACGTACGCCTAAGGTGGCAGGTTCGAATCCCCAGCCCGGACCTGCCAAACAACAATGACGGCTGCAACCAGAAAATAGCCAGGCATTGTGGTGGGTGCCTGTGTGTGGTTCCAGCTACTTGGGAGGCGGAGGCAGGAGACTCGCTTGACCCCAGGAGTTGGAGGTTGCTGTGAGCTGTAATGCCACGGCACTCTACCCAGGGGGACAGCTTGAGGCTCTGTCTCAAAAAATAATAATAATAATAATTTCTCTTTTATAGAAAAGGGCTACTGCAGAGAGAAAAATTGTATTTAAGAGGAAACTATATCTCCTGGTTAACAGATTCCAGTCTTGACCTTTGTTTTTTGAGTTTTTATTACTTGCCTACAGTTCTGACTGAATCCTGGGTTATCGCTTAGCTACAATAAATCTCTAAAGAAGAACCTTTAAAATAGTTAAATAGTTCATGCAAATGAAGGTATCACAGCAAGGTTTTTAGCTGCCTGGGGATGGATTAATGCAGAAGTTACAAAATCAACTGCAGCTCTACCAAACTCTCTCAATTCCCAGCTCAGATGGTTTTAGCAAAGTGCTTGTGATTTATGTATCTAATTGCTAAAAATCTGCATGTAAAACCAAGATTGCAGTCACTCAATGTGTACAGATCAGTTAATTTTATGACTTTGCTTTTTCACATTTGCTAAAAAGCGTTCTAAGGATTAAAGCATGCATGTCCCCCTCCATTCCTGTCTGGCCTAGGATGTCTAGTTGTCTATCAGGACATTAGCCATAAGAATCCCACCAAAAGCCTGGTTGGGCCCAGGCCAGGTAGCCACACCACCTTCAGCAATAACGGGACAAAATGAAAGTTTGATCATCCAGGATAGCTCTGGAAATCTCACCCAAAGGGGGGGAAATGAAAAAAATAGATAAAGTCCTGCACTCCCCAACAAACTGAGCAAACTCCCTCTTTACAAGGAAAAACTAAAATCCCAGCCATAAGAAGATGAAAAGTCAGGCACGGCTCCTTATTCCCCTCTCTGCCCCTCCCTCGTCAACCATCATCAGGCTCTCTTCCCTAAGAATTAAGCAGAAATCATGGCCAGGTTCAGTGGTTCACACCTGTGATCCCAGCACTAAGGGAGACTGAGGCAGGTGAATCGCCTGAGCTTAGGAGTCAGAGAGCAAAAGCCAGAGCAAAAGCAAGACCCCATCTCTACTAAAAATAGAAAAACTAGTGGGGTGTTGTGGCAGGTGCCTGCAGTCCCAACTACTTGGGAGGCTGAGGCAAGAGGACTGCTTGGGCCCAGGAGTTTGAGGTTGCTGTAATGACACCACAGCACACTAGGCTGGGGCAAAAGAGGGAGACTTAGTCTCAGAAAAAAAAAAAAAAAAAAGAATTAAACCAAATCAGTCATTTGGAAAGACCAGCTCCACCATTGATTTCAGCCACCTAATGCCCCCCCCCCTTACTTTTTACCAACTACCCTGTATTCCTTGTTAGTAAGAGGCGACCCCCCACCATGAGGGGGTTCTGGCCACTCTACCCGGGCTGTGCAGCCAGTGCCTGAGCTCCACTTCACCTTGTGATGTCAGAGGACCGAACTCCCACCCTGGGGTCATTCTGATGCCAGCAAGTTTTGGACATGAGTCCCCTGAAGCAGGATGAAGCTCAGCTGTCCCTGCTCATGTCTCCCCTTCACGCCGCGGCCCAGCTCCTAAGACGGCTTATCAAGTGTGCACATTGGGCTGTTTGTGCCTGTTTCTTTTACCCCTTCCTCAGAGAGCTTACTCCTTTCCTGCCTACAGCTGTGCTTCCCAGCCTGAACCTTGCTGTCCATTTTAGCCAGCTGGGTCCACCCCTGGATGGGAGGCAGATGATAAGCATGGCCTTGTTATAAGCCAACTTAAAATATCTATGAACAGATGAATTGCACCAACATTCAGCATAATTGAGCAATTGTCCTTGCCCTGGTTCTGTTATGAACAGAACACTTTCTGCCTGCATTTTCATGTCATGTTGTGGAACCTTCCAGATACTCTCTGAAAGAAAACCTCCAGCCACGAGTGGCGCCTCAAGGCCACACGTGGCCCTCCAGATCCCCAAGTGCAGTCCCTTGACACAATCCAAACAAGCAAACAAATCCCTTTATAAAAAGGATTTGTTCTATAAAATTTGGATTCAATCAAAAGACCACACCCAAGGACCAGAAGGCCACATTCTTCTCACAAAAAAGTGTCATTGGATGGTAGGGTCCTTCCTCCCAGTGGAATTACAGCCTCATTCCACCCACCCTGATGCTTATGGGAACTTATGTTAAAACTTTTTCATCTGCGGTATCTCGGGCAGAAGCCGCCCGTTTTCCCTGTGGAACTGGCTGACCTTCGCCGACATGCAGGGAAGCCGGACCTGAAAGTGACAAGGCTTTGGGAACATCCTGGAGAAAACAGAATGACAACCAGAGGGACAGCCCCAGGCTTTGCTCTGTGGGACAGTCGGCTCTCCAGCTAACATATTCCAAGAAGGATCAAGGTTGAAATGGCCCAAATAAAATTAATTTCAAGAACACAAACAACTTTTCTTTTTCTTACTCCTAGCAAATGGTGGCTGGAAAATTCTGTGTACTCCACAGGAAAGAATTTTCCAGCTGCCAGTGCACAAACAATGGAGTTATTTGCTCTAGGAAATGGTAAGATACCTTTCACCGGAGACAGGTTAGTTGTATCCTCAGTGATGTCTGAGAGGGCCTGTTTGCCAAAGAAGAGTTATGTTGAATTCTGTTTTTGAGAATCAGACACTTTATTACAATTGAGCATGAAGTTTTTATATACTAAAGGTGTTTATCAATTGACTTTACATTCTATTCATGTTGAAATCTGATGTTTTCATTCGTTCTATGATTTAAATCAGCCTTCAAGTACTCTTGCAACCCTGAAAGGCTGTAAGTGTGAACACAGAAAGGTTTGTTCTGTTCCGTGACTATTTTTCCAGAGACAGCAGCACAGAAAGGAAGGAAGGAATGTCTCCGGAGTAGAGATGAGAGAGCACCTTGCCACCTGCACACGGACCGAGGGGTCATCCTGCCACACAGCGGCTTCAAGCTTTTTTGGTGTTTGCAAAATATTTCAGGCTGAGAACACAGGCACAGTTGAGGTTGTTGAGAGAATATGCTGAATTGCTTAGGCTGATGCGAGTGAGGCTGGTTCTGTTCCTATGTCAAGCAGCAGGGATCTTGACCAAGTGTATCATTTCCAACTAGATTAGTCGAGAGATACCAGGATTAGTTCATGGCATGAATCCAAAGTCTTGTACAAAATATTCTGAGTTCAGGAGAGAAGAGAAACGGTGGTAGACCTGGAAATTTCAACTAGCTAACATCGGCAGATACCATAATCCAAGTTTTACATCAATATTGGGAAATAAGAACCTGGAGACCTGATATCCAAAGGGCAAATAGGCGGGGTGTCCCAGCTCCAGAAAAGAGAGCCAAGAACTTGGCTTCTCCTCCACCTTTCTCTTCTATCCGGAGCTGATAGCTGCCTGCCAACAGCGGGTGACAGTGGCCCTTTCTCAGTTGGGACGTTGATTCAAACGCTAATCTCCCAGAGGCATTCTCCCAGATTCATCCTGAAATAATGCTCACCAGCTATCTAGGGATCCCTTACTCTGGTCAAGCACACACCCAAAATCACCTATTTACTTGTTACGTTTTTGGTGAATTGGCTCCTTCATAAACACAAGGACATCTTGTCTTACTGTGCTTTTCCTTATCATCCTTCACAAATACTGTGATTTTCCAAAGTAAGGTATAGAGGATTAAATATCATGCTTATTACAACAGTCACCGATATCCTAGCTCATCTGAGGAGTTACTGAGAACAAGACATTCTCCTGGCAAGCCTGGAAATCTCTTGTGACTTCTACAGAAGGCAAGCCACCAAGTAACTCAGTAATCCTGGAGGAGCAAAGTTCAGTCCTGTGGTAGTAAGGCTATTGTTAAACATTAACCATGAGGGTTTGTGGATAGCCGTGTTGAGCAAGTCCATGGGCCCCACTTTGCCAACAGCAGGTATTCCCCTAAAATGATTAAGACCCACTGAAGGCTCAGATGATTGTTGACATTTCTTAGCAGAAATCAAGGAGTGGCTTCATTGTGGCATGATCAAAAAAGAGATTTCTAACTGGATTTTTTTGGTTTTTTTTAGTTTCCACAAAAATGTATTTAATAAGCTTGTTGTCAGCTCAGCACCTGTAGCTCAGTGATCAGGGCACCAGTCACATGCACTGGAGCTGGTGGGTTCGAACCCAGCCCTGGCCAGCTAAACAACAGTGACAACGACAACAACAACAAAATAGCCAGGTGTTGTGGCGGGCACGTGTAGTCTCAGCTACTTGGGAGGCTGAGGCAAGAGAATCGCCTAAGCCTAAGAGTTTGAGTTACTGTGAGCTGTGACATACTCTATCACGGACGACATAGTGAGACTCTCTCAAAAAAAAAGAAAAGAAAAGAAGCTCGTTGTATAAAATCAAACAACATTTTCAACATGTCATCAATAATTGAAACTCATCAATAATTCAGAATCACTAATATCTGAGAGTGCTTTGTATTCTGGAAGATTACCTAAACTAAAAAAATTACATATTTACAACACACGTAGATATAACCAAAGAACTATTTCAGCTAACATTGACATTCACAGAGTTGCGGAGATTTATAGCCTGGAGTTGCTGCCACGTGTTTAGGAAATTTACCTAGCCATGGCTCTGAAGATTCACCCCTTCCTCCCGGCTGGTCTGCAGACTGGATGATGAGAGGGGGAAAGTATTGCACAGATCACAACACAAACAGAACTCACTGGAGCCACCCTCTTCAGTCAGAAGAGCTTCCTCCTAGTTGGGAGAGAGTTGAAGCATCAGAATTTGAAACTTATTCTGCAGGTCACACAAGTAGGGAGCTCAGGACAAGCATCCCTGTGCTCCTGGTGTACCTCGGGTGTGCTCAACCATTGCCTGTCATATACCAGCCGCAGCAAACTAGAAGACATGAGTCCCTTCTGGTACCTTTGAATCCATATCATACTGCAGAAATTTCTGACTGGCTTCAGGTTCGTGCTTGAAATTCCATGAAACATGACCACATTCGGAGACCCTGGGAACTCTTCCAGCTGACTGACCGGATACATACCAGGGAATGCTAAAATTGCTCTTCATAAAGGAACTGGAACAGATCATTAAAATATATGAAGCATTCAGATGGCTCTTCTCTCTGACCGGCATTTATAACCTAACACACGTTGCTATGTGTTCTATAAATTTCCTATGGTAGCTTATGACAGTGTATATCGATCTTGGACAGGAAAAAAGATTGTCTCATTAACAAAGTAATTATTATATAATAATTCTCCCTTTGACAAGAGCATGATGACTGGTTTTTATTTGCATCTCACTCTGCCAGATGTTACACCACCTCTCTGCTCCTAAGTCTCATTGGTTGACCCTTGGACACTGTCACTTGGGCAGAGCCAATTTTGTTTATAAAATGGGTGGAGGCAGAAGAAATAACACACCTGGCTTGACCAGAAGACATGCAGCCGATGGATCTGGAACATCGGAGAGTGAGACTGAATGATGGTCACTTCATGCCTGTTCTGGGATTTGGCACCTACATGCCTCCAGAGGTAACTATAAGGCTCCTGGAGTTGAGAGTCCATGAGCCTCGTCGATGTTAAAACTATCCCTGGATGAGCAGACGCTGACCTTGCTTCCATCGAAATGATGGGTTGGGGGATGGGGATGAGGGGTGGTCCTCTGACGTGAGAGGGAGCAAAACGGGAAGCCCACATTCTTTTCTTTTTTCAATAGAATAATTTTAATTAGGTGCATATAGTAGAAAGTCGCATTACATCAATATAAATTTTTTAATCCAGGGAACACATAGTTAAGTAAAAGTACATCCTTATTTTTGTTATTTTCAAAATACTCACTGAAGTATTTAGGGATACGGGGAGAAGCATATGTCACATACATATATGCGCACATCGTAACTGGAAAGAACAATAATCAGAACTACTGCTAGGCTGGAAGAAAAAAAATTTTTTTTTTCAAGGCAAAGTCTCACTTTGTAGGCCTTGGTAGAGTGCTGTGGCGTCACAGCTCACATCAACCTCAAACTCTTGGGCTTAAGCGGTTCTCTTGCCTCAGCCTCCCAAGTAGCTGGGACTACAGATGCTCACCACAATGCCTGGCTATTTTTTGGTTGTAGTTGTCATTGTTGGTTAGCTGGCCCCGGCCAGACTCGAACCCGCCAGCCTCCGTGTATATGGCTGGCGCCCTAACACTGAGCTATGGGGCCGAGCCAAAATATTCATTCCAATATTGTCCTCAGATGACTAATTGTGTGGCCAGGGATGAGGTTCTCATCTATATGACAAAGATATGCATAGAGAAATTTTGAAGACAGTTGACAAGGATCATTTACCATCATTTACATTGTAATACAAATTGGCATGAAAGAGAAGGGAAATGGGATCACTTGTTTTTTTTATTATGAATTAATTTGAGTTCTCTGTGGATTCTAGTTATCAAATCTTTGTCAGCAATTACCTACATGCAAATATCGTCTTCCATTCTGAGGGCTGTCTGCTTGCTTTACTTACTGTGCTCTTGGCTGTGCAGAAGCTTTTTAGTTTGACCAGATCCCAGTAATATATTTTTGGTGTTGCTTCAATTGCCAGGGGAGGTCCTTCTCATAAACTATTCTCCCAGGCCAATTTCTTTTTCTTTTTTTCTTTTTTTTTTTTTTTTTTGGCAGGAGCCAGGTTTGAACCCGCCACCTCCAGTATATGGGGCCGGTGTCCTACTCCTTTGAGCCACGGGCACTGCCCCACCTAGGCCAATTTCTTCAAGTGTTTCCCCTGTACTCTCTCTAAGTATCTTTATAGTTTCATATCTTAAGTTTAAATCTTTGATCCAGTGAGAATCAATTTCTATTAATGGTGAAAGGTGAGGGTCCAGTTTCAGTCTTCTCCAAGTCGCCAGCCAATTCACCCAGCAGCATTTGTTAAAATGGGTAATCTTTCCCCCAATTTATGTTTTTGATAGGCTTATCAAAGATCAAATGATGATAAGTCTCTGGGGATTATCTTGGTTCTCTATTCTGTTCCATACATCTACCTCTCTGTTTTTGTGCCAGTATCATGCTGTTTTGATCACCATAGATTTATAGTATAGCCTGAAGTCTGGTGGCGTGATTCCTCCTGATTTGTTTTTATTTCTGAGTAATGTCTTGGCTATTGAAGGTTTTTTCTGATTCCATATAAAACAAAGTACTATTTTTTCCAGATCTTTAAAGTATGATATCAATAGCAATGGGTGGCAATGTATCTGTACCTCATACGAATGATAGAACACAACTGTAGCCCAGAATGAAGGAGGGAAGAGGAGGGTAAGGGGAGGAGAGAGGAGAGGTGGGGGGGGGGTAATAGTGGGACTTGCTTACTATGCATAATGCAAGGTACATGTCAAATCTATTAACAGTAGAGTATAAATGTCTTAATGCAAAAAGTAAGAGAGGTGAAGGCTACATGAGTCAGTTTGATGTAAGCATCCTAAATTGTATATAAAATCAGCACATTATATCCCATAAATGCATTAATGAAATAATCTGGAGGACAATGCATATAGAAATTGGCAAAAATATAATAATAGTATAATTAATTCTTAACTATAAAAACAACTTTTGGCATTTTTAAAGGTGAAATAAAACCCCAGACAATAGAAAACAAGAGACAAAGAAAGAGAAGTGAAAATGAGGACCTCTTGAGGCTTCAGCCTGAGTCAATTTGCACCAAAGTACTAATCTAGCCTGGTCAGGGATGGCAGGAAACCCCAGGAGAAAGCTCCTGTGATTTCACTGGAAAAAGAAAGCTTCTGAAGTATCTAAAAAGAAACAAAAAATAGCTTCCTTCATTCAGGATTCTATCATTTAACAAGTGCACTTTCAAATATTTATCCAAATTGGTAGATAAGACAATAATTTTACATTTCACTGGAAGAAGCATTGACCCTGATTTTTGCTAATTTCTTACAAGCTATAGTTAACTTGCTGTGCATAAATCTATGTCCTTAGAATACACCTCTTTACTCCTCACGTTTGTGTCCACAAATGCGATGCAGACACAGCAGCCGTGTAGAACAGATCAACATAACAGATCATTCTCCATAGAGCACCTGTGTCAAAATCAGAGCCTGGCCAGTATCTGAGAACTTGGACATCTTGTCATTTTCTGTCATTTTTGGCACTGTGGTTGTGCCTAAACTGTTTGCATGTAGACCTATCTCTTTTCTGGATTCTTGGCACATGCCTCAGAAGGTGTCTATGTAACCAGACCCCAGTGAAACCTAGTAACTGAGGATCTAAAGAACATTCCCTGAGGACAGCATTTCCCACGTGTTGTCAGAATAGGATGCTGGTGAACTTAGTGTGTTCTGTGTAATGTCTCTGGGAGACATTACATGAGGACCCGGGGACAACATAGTGTGCTCCGTGCAATGCCCCCGGGAGAGGACTCGAGGACACTCACAACACATTTCTCCCATGTTTCATTCCATGTACCATTTTCCTGAGGTAGTTTTTTAAATCATATAAAACTATAATTATGACTATTAAGTAAAACTGTACAGTAAGTACTCTTAATTTTTCCAACAAATGCCTGAATGTGGAGGTGTTGCTGGGGACCTCCAATGCTGGGGAACAAGAGATTGCCTGGGATGGAAGGAGTTCAAGGGATGCTCAGCCTGTATTGGTATCCAAGATAACCCAGGAAAACTGGAATGGGTTCTTCCTCCCACGTGCAGAAATAACCCAAGATGAGGAAAAGCTGATTCTTGTGAAGGTCACTGCTTGTGCCTGAGCTTCCTCTCAGTCACCGGGGCCTCCTAATCCTACCTCTGGTGCCCCTCCAGGTTGACAAGAGCAAGGTTGTGGAGGCCACCAAATGGGCGATAGAAGCTGGGTTCCGCCATATTGATTCTGCTCACTTGTATGAGAATGAAGAGCAGGTCGGGCTGGCCATCCGCAGCAAGATCGCAGACGGCTCTGTGAGGAGAGAAGACATCTTCTACACGTCAAAGGTGCAGTCTGCTGGGGAGGGCACGGATGTAATGGGGTGGGGGCCTCAGCTCAGATAGGCCTGTACAATTAGATGAATCTCTGATTATATATTATGGTTTCTCCTAGTTCCTGCATCACTTTCTATTTCTGAATATATATAGAAATATATATATATATTTCTTTTTTTTTTCTGGTTGTTTTTGGCCGGGGCTGGGTTTAAACCTATCACCTCTGGCATATGGGGCCAGCACCCTGCTCCTTCGAGCCACAGGCACCACCTATTATTTCTTATTTTGAGTATCTATTACTAATTAATCTTTACCAGAGACAGAAAAAGTGATAGTAAGAGAACACCATGAGTATTAAACCCTTATCACTAAAATGTCTTGAACTGTGTCCAGCACACATTGTTCCCTTTAGTTCAATAAAAGAGTGATACTTATTCTTATCCATAGAGTGGAAGAGATAAGACGAGTTGAGTATTAAAACACTCTGCAAACTGTATCGAAATAATGCAGGTGACAGACACAACTATTTCTTGAAACAATTTTTATTTTTTTATTTTTTTAAATAGACAACAATTATCTATAAATAAAAATAGAAGATATTGTCAAAAAACAGATCATGCCAACTCTTACAGACAATAGAAAAGGAAGAATACTTCAGATTCATTCTACTCCATCTGGATATACCTGATATTAAAATTGGAAAAAATATATTATTATAAAGGGAAATTACATACATATTTCACTTATAAATGAGGGTGCACTATCCTAAACAACATAATTTATTTTTGTGAAACAATCAGCAATTTTTATTTTTTGAGCAATTTACTTCCATAGTTCAGTATATATACTAATTATGTGTCCATTATTTATCTGTTCCTATGAATAGACTTTGTATGAAAGGATCAGGTTCAAAGGAAACAGAAGAAAGGATGGAATAATTTTTGACCAGTCGTCATCACTTTGAAAGCCTGGGGGGAAATGTCTATCAGGTGAACCAAACTAATAATTGGCTGAAATAGTTTTTCAACACAACTTCCACTCTCTAACCCCTACAGATCTGGAGCACTTTCTTTCGACCAGAGTTGGTCCGAGAATGCCTAGAAACATCGCTGAGAAAACTACAGTTGGACCATGTTGACCTCTGCCTTATCCATGTGCCGATGGCTTTGAAGGTAGACGAGTTGTATGGTCAAGCCTACACATTTCTGTTGTCAGCACGGCCACTACTTACACGGACGGCTAAATTAAGCTCTTGCTTAAGAGAATGTTGGAATTATTACACTGGAGAGGAACCCTAAGTCCTAATTCCTTTTTTATTGAGTAAAGGTTGAATCCTTCCTTGTGCCTGTTAAAACCAGAAGAGCACAGCATCCCCCAAAGCATGAGAAAACAGTGATGGCCACGTTCAAGGCTCTGTCCCAATTGTGGCTTCTCAGTCCACGTCTTGGGATCGTCACAGACACAGAATCTGTCACACAGCTGGTGCTCAAACTTCTGCACAATCTGCTTCTCCATCTCCCCCAATTTTATGCTGAAACAGATTTGGTAGAATTCACTGGGTGGCTGTCAAAGGAAAGCCCTGATGGGAATTTGGGAAACTCAACATCCTTGGCTGCCTCTTCTCACGGTGCAGCTCTGTAGTTTCTCTTAGCCATTGATTCCTGTGTTTGATGTATGACTTTTAACTTAAATTTATAAAAAATTACTCAGGCTCATTTATGCAAGAGAGTTTATTGGATCATGTGAATGGGAAGTTAAAGCCTTGGTTGCATGGCAGGATCTGACATAGTCTTCAGAAATGTGTCCTTCTCTCCATCCTCATCTGTGTAATCCCAACAGGTTTGCTGGATTTTTGTCCCAGCCCTTCCCCATGTTGGGAATTACTGTTTTGAAGCAGTGCAGGCCTCGTGGAATTAATCTGGAAAAGAGCCTTCCTTGACCATGTCTGGTTTGTGGTCTTGGCAATGAACCATCATGTGCTTCTGTAGAACAGGAGCTTGGACTTCTCACCTGGGTCGAGATGGCTCTGATGATTGATGCCAGTGAATAAGAGGCATTTCCCAGAAGGAACGTACAGGGGCAGACAACAGTAATATAAGTCACCTAGAAGACCCCAGTGACCTGGGGGAAAGGAATTTATTTATACATAGAATAGACGTACACACTCACCCTCATATGACTAGTGTCCCAGCTCTAAATGTACCAGGCAGTGTGGCTATGGGTGGTGACTTTAATTTGTGACATAACTGAAATGACTGCTTCTTGTTCAGCCAAGCGAGACTATTTTGCCAACTGATGAAAATGGAAAAATAATGTTTGACAGAGTGGATCTTTGCGCCACCTGGGAGGTAAGTGCTTGGGGAAAGAGCACAAAGAAGGAAGACAAAGGCCGAGGGTCCGCTTCCCCCCTTCCACCTGTGACAAGCCCCACGGAAATTGGAGCTTTGGGATGGGACATTTGCTGTGGGTGTGGAGATGACACCATGACTGCAAGGCCATGGTGAGAAACTTTAACAGGGAATCAGGCAGGAGGAAGTCCAGCAGCTCCTTCCCGTGCTGGGCAGGAATCTCTCCAGTTCCCTAAAGAGGACACAGGGCTGCTTCTTCCTTTGCCGTCCCTGCATTATCCCTGCATACTGTTTCTGCTTCTCCTCTGACAGTCACTGCCTGCTGGTCTCACTGTCCTTTCCTGAAAGCTGTGGTTTGACAGTTCTGTCTTCCTGCATTGACCTTCACCCGCAGTCAGCTGCACACACGACCCTTCACAATGCCTCCCTCCCCAGGCCCTGGAGAAGTGTAAAGACGCTGGATTGGCCAAGTCCATCGGGGTGTCCAACTTTAACCGCAGGCAGCTGGACATGATCCTGAAGAAGCCCGGGCTCAAGTACAAGCCCGTCTGCAACCAGGTGAGCTTGGCAGACCCGTCTCCATTGTGTTGCTCACGCCCTTCCTCCTGCTCTCCTGCCAGGTGGCCATTTGACGTTCCCTCCCATTCGTCTCCCTTTGTGGAGCCGAAGATTCTGCACAGCGCAGCCCCTGTCTAGAAAGGCATGGAGGACCTTCAGTTGTATCTCTGCTAGGAAAAGTCTTAGTAAAATTTGAGGAGAGCTCAGATCAGAAACATGTACAATCCATTGGGGAGGTAAACTGGGTCAAGGATGCCTGGACTGGTAGATCGGACCTGGGGACAGGGACTGGTCATTCCTGGAGCTGTGAAAGGTGCCCAGAGACTGAGGGGCGAGGGGATCAGGAGGGGACTGAGAACAGGTGGGAGGCCGTGAAGGTGAGGAATGGGCAGCAAGGAAGGAGAGGAGAATTAGAGAAGGTGGGTGCTGGGGTCGAAATGGGGTTCGGATGCCTGAGTCCTTCATCTCAGCATCTTTGCTTCAGAATAATTTTTGACCAGGCATACATAGATACATTAATAATCGACTGGAGACTGGGATTCATCGGGTAAGAGGCAGGATGTTGGCTGTTGTGGAGACACCTGTTGACAGTGGATGAAATCACCACTGAGGCTGGTTAAGCAGAGCATGGAGCTGGCCTGTGCTGCCCACGTCCCAGCCTGCTCCCCTCACTGCCCCATTCTGCACAGGCCCCTGGCCTCTACTTCACTTTCAACAACTCGGAGTCAAAGAGGAAGAGTCTATGGTTGAAAAGCAATGTTGACAATTTTCAACAATTCAGAAAATTGAGTGGACGCCGTGGCTTAGTCTTATCCCAGCACTTTGGGAGGTGGAGGCTGAAAGACCACTTGAGGCCAGGAGTTTAAGACCAGCCTGGACAACATAGAGAGACCTCTTAACTACAAAAATAAGAGAACTCTCCTGATGTGGCAGCATGCTCCTGTAGTCACAGCTATTCGGGTGGCTGAGGCAGAAGCGTTATTTGAGCCAAGGTGTTCGTGGAGGCAGTGAGCTATTCTGATGCCACTGCACTCCACCCTGGGAGACTGAGAAAGACCCTGCCTCTCACACACATGCACATACTTATAACTTGGAAAATTCAAAAGACTACCACGGGACAGCCCATGTTTGTTAACATTTGTCCACACTGCAAAATGCATAGGTACTTGTATGTGTGTATATCTGTGCCCACATGTGGATCTGTCTCTGATACTTTGCTGGACATCTTCAGAGTAAGTGTAGAGATGACAATTTGCACCCACAAACCTTTAAAAGGAGGTCATCAGAATGAAGATATGCTCCCAATTAAAGTGTCAACATTACATCAAGGAAATCAACAATAATGCCCCCACATCCTCTAGAGTTCAGTCACCGTTCATATTTCCACTGGGAAACAATTCCTATTCTTTTTTAACCATAATCCAATTGAGGTTTTCAGATTGTATTATATTTATTTATTTATTTAGAGACAGAGGCTCATTCTGTTGCCTCTGGGTAGAGTGCCATGGTGTCATAACTCACAGCAACCTCAAACTCCTGGGTTCAGGCAATTCCCCTTCTTCAGCCTCCCGAGTAGCTGGGACTATAGGTGCCCACCACAATGGCCAGCTAATTTTTCTACTTTTTTAATAGAAACAGGATCACAGTCTTGCTCAGGCTGGTCTTGAACCCTGAGTTCAAGCAATCTACCCACCTCAACCTCCCAGAGTACTGGGATTACAGGCATGAGCCACCATGCCCGGCCAAATTATTTTATTTTTATATCAGTGACTTATTTGTCTCTTCCAAGTCTCTGAAAATTAGAAATTAGATTTTCATGTTTTAATGCATCGAGGTTAAACATTTCTGGCACCAAAATGTTCTCAGCATGCTGTGGCCCTCAAATGACACCACAGTAGTTAGCACCTAATTGACAAGTTGCTTGCTGTTAGTGACCACAATTTATCATTTGGTTAAACTACTAGTAGCCAGATCTGTTCTTGGTAAACATGCATTTTCTCTTAGAATTACTAGTAGTCTAATCGGTCATAATTGTCAACAGGATAACTCATATGCCATAACAAATGTTCACACAATGGCTGAGTACACATCAACGATTTTTTATTTGTTTGCTTTGTATTCTGTTTTCTTCTTGTATCTGTTTCCTTGGGGTTTTAAATAATTATTCTCACTTTTAACTGCTGTTTTTACTTTTCTTATCTGTCATTTTAATGAAGAAAAAACTCATCAAGTCAGGATAACATAGACTTGTTCCTGTGACACAAGGGAAAAGCTTAACTGAATTTCTTTAATTATCCATGTCCAGAGAAAGAAATTAGTGTCATAATAACCATGTCTGGGAACAAACATTTAATTCTCTCTTTTTCTCCATCATTACTATGAGCTCAAGAATTTTTGTTTCCTTGTGCTTTAAAATTAATTTGACTCATTATTCATTTTGATACTCAAATCTACCCAAATGTTCTCCCTGGGATTCCTGCCGAATTTATTCTTTGGTCAATCAGTCTTGCCCTCCTGAGTCATTCACTCAATTCTTGCTTTCTGAGAGAAATTGATGTTCCAGGTTCAGCATGTTTGGTCCCAGACCTTGAATTCCACCTGTTTTCTTTTAGAAAACAAAGGTGTTTAGAGCTCAAAATTTGGTTCATAACATTGATTGTTTTCAGAAGTGAAATTTTTATTTATTATTTCAAGAGACAGATATAAAAATTCTTTTTCTAAATTGGTCATTAATTCACATTATTTAAGCTTATTTTATTTTTATCTTTGTTCACATTACTGTTCCTGTCCCACATAACCTGATGCCTCCCGCCTGGGTCGTCTGCAGGTGGAATGCCATCCTTATCTCAACCAGAGCAAGCTGCTGGATTTCTGCAAGTCCCAAGACATCGTGCTGGTGGCCTACAGTGCTCTGGGGACCCAGCGAGATAAACGATGGTAAGAAGACAGGAGGCAGTTTACCTAAAATATCACTCAGATTAAAAGTCGCTTTAGTGATGCCACCCTCCTTTCCTGGAGTGCTGTCAGGTGGCTCAGGGACAGGGGACAAGTTGCATGTCCAACAACATCCCAGCAGATGCTGGTGCTGCTGGCCCGGGACCACCCTGGAGAGGCCTTGGTGTGCAGTGAACGCCTGGGTCGGTTTGGGAAGCCCCTGCCATGCCCAGTACTAGGTCTCAGGAGCTCAATATCGTCTGCTTCCTTCCAGGGTAGACCTGAACTCCCCCGTCCTCCTGGAAGACCCAGTCCTGTGTGCTTTGGCCAAAAAACACAAGCGGACCCCCGCCCTGGTCGCCCTGCGCTACCAGCTGCAGCGCGGGGTTGTGGTCCTGGCCAAGAGCTACAATGCACAGCGGATCCGAGAGAACGTGCAGGTGACAGGGTCTGAGCCCGGGCTCCTGCACAGGGAGCGGAGTGGGCTTCCCCCCACAGCTTGGGCCGTGTCCCCCTTCAGATGCCCTGGACCTGTGCTGTGCGGACCCCCTGTGCCTGCTGTGCACATCTCCCGGGCTTACCACTGCTCCCAGCAGCACAGGCAGTGTGGGGAGAGGTCCTCAGGGCCCCAAGCAGAGATCTGGGTTTGTGTGTTGCGTGGGCAGCGGGCTCTGTCTCCCCTGCAGAGACATGTCCTTCCCTCCATTTCTGAAGTGAGGGATTTGGACGAGGTGGAGGGCTCTCTGGTCTCCAGATGTGCGTGCGCGCGCACTCATGTGTCATGTCTCTGAATACTCAGGTGGTCTAATTTTCATGTATTTACTCTCTTAAGAGTTTTTCCTGGTTAAGTGCCTGTTTCCCTTTTTCTATTTGATTTCGTTTTCTCTGTCTTTACACGTATGCAAGTATGATTTCAGCAACAGCTAGAGTTGAACTGTAAGAAACCCCTCAACACAGAGGTTTAATATGGAACAATTCTCTTTGCTCAGGATTCTATGGCATGAGAATTAGCCTGGGCTCAGATGAACTCAGTCAAACTCTCCTGTCTCTGGGGCTCCCGTACGTGTAAGGGGGACGATGAGAGGGGCGGCTGTGCTCCGCGGCACAACTCACATATTAAATGTCCATAAATACTTCTCTGGCCTCTCTTCTGTCTTCAGCTGACTTAATTATAATTACTTTACTATACTGCCTTCATTACATTGAAAAGTATGTCTTGCTGTCCAGAATGGTAAAACTTTTACCTAATCCTTCCCTTATTTCAGAGTATCTTGGCTATTTTTGACTGACTGTTCTATCATATAAAATTTAGAATCACCTTATAATCTTCTATTAAAGAGTAAAAATTTCAGGCTTTGGTAGATAACTACATTGAAATTGCAGATCATTTTGAAAGCCTGACTGCTTAACAATTTTGAGATTTCCAATTCATGATCATGATAAGAATCTCCAGTTACATAAGTGGTCATTTAATACATATATAAAAATCTCCTACCTTTTTTCTTTAAGGTATCTGGGTACATTTTCTTAGATTTATCCATAAAGGTTTCACAATTTCAATAGTATTTTTATGAACTGTCATAAATGCTTATGATTTTGAACATTTTCAAATGTCCAAGTGTAAAGTTTGTGACACTTTTTATTGTCTCTTCCTTCTCAGTATCACTGTTTCAGAGTGTTAACCTGAAGTAGTGGATCTACATGGTTCAATCTGTATTAATTAGTGATGGCTTTTTGACAATTGCAGTTTCTCAGATTTAGACAGTGAGGTCCTCAGCAGCAGAATCTGTGCCCTTTGAAGACGACATCATTAGTATTCCTGTAATTCGTGGCTTAAATTGTGTTGAAAAATATTTTCACTTTAGAACTTCTTGTCAGTGAGATATCAAAACCCAACTATACCCATCAAACTTACTAGATTACTTAAAAAGTTACAAAAATTGGCCTCTAAAAAAATTTTGCCTCTAGATGCTTGTGGACCTTGTGAGCAGGTGACCCATTCAGGTTTGAAGGATGTCTCTGTTTCTTCTTAAGCTCCTTCTCAGAGCTCCTGTCTGCCTGTGGTGCTCTGAGGTTTCTGTATATTATGCTGAGTTTTTAGATTGATATCCTTCACAACATTTGGAATCAGATGCTTTAAGTGCTGCATCTGTACCATGGTGTTTGATATGCTCAGACACTCTTGATTGGCTATTATGTAATCTAAAAATAATGAAATTTTCTATTCATGTGATAGGTTTTCGAATTCCAATTGACTCCCGAGGACATGAAAGTCCTAGACGGCCTGAACAGAAATTTTCGATATATTACTCTTGATTTGTAAGTACCTTTCATAAACATATTTTTTCAATTTATTGTCTGAAGTAGGATGGGCGTTAAAAGTTACCCCAACACCAGGCAGGCAAGGCCAGCTGGAGTTGGAGGTGAGACAGGTGCTTTCTGGAATTTACCTTTCATACTTGTTTGGACGGGGTGAGTGGGACCCAGGTTACCACATGCCCTTGCATTTCTGCCTCCATGGAACTTTCCAGAACGGATGACATGACTGCTGAGTCAACATCTTCCATGTGGACCTCTCATGTCTACCACATTCTAGTGGACATATTCTGTGGGGTATGCTCATTGTAGCCCAATCATGTGTCTCCAAATCTCTGTTTATATCTTATTCTCCCAAACCTGCTCAATTTCTTACCAGATTAATCAACCTATGGTCCATGCCAGAAATTCCCATAACCCCCACCTGGAATGTTCACTAGATGCTGTCAATTTAGTGTTTTAATCATTTTTTTATTATTAAGTTTCCAAATATTGAGGGAGCACCAATGCTTCGTTACATGGATAGCTTTGGTAAAGTTTGAATCAGGGGTACAAGTGTGCCCATCATCCCAGTAGTGTTCATTGCACCCATTAGGTAGGGTTCTGTCCCTCCCCTTCCCAGCCCTCCCCTCCCCTCCCCCCTGCTTGATTTTTAATGACTTTTACTTCCCTCTGTTCATGTGTCTGCCCTGTGGATAGGTCCAATTTATTAAAGAGTGCATGAGGTATCCATTTTTCCATTCCTGAGACATTTCATTTAGGAGAATGGTCTCCAGTTCCATCCAAATTGCTGCAAAGGGCATTAATTTATCCATTTTTTTTATGGCTCAATGGCATATACCACATTTTGTTAATCCACTCGTAAACTGATGGGCCCTTAGGTTAATTCCACAGTTTTGCAATTATGAATTGTGCTGCAGTAAACATTCAAGTATAGATGTCTTTTAGATAAAATTACTTCTCTTCCTTCAGGTAGTGGGATTGGTGGATCAAACGGTAGGGCTTCTTTTCGTTCTTTGAGGACTCTCCAGACCGTTTTCCTTAGCGGCTGTACTAGTTGGCAGTCCCACCAACGGTGTATAAGTGTTCCTTTCTCTCTCCATTGACACCAGCATTTACTATTTGGGGACTTTTTAATAAAAGCCATTCTAACAGGGGTAAGATGATATCTCATTGTGGTTTTAATTTTTATTTCCCTGATGACTAGTGATGTTGAATAGGTTTTTGTGTGTTTGTTGGCCATTTATCTATCTTCCTTTGAAAAACTAATATTCGTGTCTCTTGCCTGCCTGTAATGGGGTTAATTTTTTCTTGCTGATTTCTTTGAGTTCTTTGTAGATTCTAGAAGTCAGTCCTTTAAGAGCTGTATAGTTTGCAAATATTTTTTCCCAGTCTGTAGAGTGTCCATTTGCTCTGTTGATTATTTCCTTAGCTGGGCAAAGCTTTTAGTTCAGTTCAGTGTCTTTCAAAGTCTCTCTAGTTTCTTTCTTTCTTCTTGTGGGTTGGTTGCTCATGAGCCAGACACAGCATTTGCCTGGAAAGGGCTCTTTAACAAGGCAGAGATAGTGCATGGTTTACATTGTGTGAGGCAGGAGAGCTCAGGGTAGAAGTGGGAAACGTTTTAGAGAGGAGATATTGAAAACACCAGAGCTTAGGAGCAAAAGCTCTGTTGTTGAAGATAATTTATAGTCAACAAAAGATTTGTACTATTTCTTTATGATCTAAGAATCTAGAACATTTTATTGGGACAAGGGAAAAAGAAGATGGTATGTGCCTGAGGCCTCTGGAGGTTTAACAGGTGATAGAGATGAAAAGATAAGTCATGCACAGACATAAGCAGGATGGCACACCATGGCTGCTCTTTCATTATAGTAGAGGAAAATGAATAAAAAGGGTCATTATGAAAAAGAAGAGAAAATAGCAAGCACGTGGCATTCTTAACACCAAGTAAATATTTACAATCAGTGGTCCTCATTAAATGTGTCCCCTAATTCTGGGGACCATTTTAAAAAATAAATAGGAGAGAGAAGTTTATTTTCGATGTTATTTCCAAATAAAGATTTTCCTTAGTACATTGTATCTCTGGGATACGAAACCCTATATTATACGTGACAATTTCGCGTTTCTGAAACTAATGCAATACATTGCAGAAAGTAGGCGGTAAGTAATTAGCGAATTGATGGCTGACGTGTAATCACCTGCGGTCACCTTTAACACTCAGCAGTACCTGTTAGTGATGGGCAGACGGCAGGTCTGTTCCTGTTCTAAATAACGCAGAAAGAGTTTCTGCTTTCACTGAGGATTTTGAAGAAAAAAAGAGCGGAATATCGCCTTGTTTTATTGGCAGAGGCAGAGGAATGTTTGGACATTTGATTCTGTGTGCTAAGTTCCAGGCAAGGGAATATAATTTGAATAATTTAGTATTTTTTAAAAACTCCTGAAGTCACGTTCATGAAAGTAAGAAGGACAGACCCTACAGTCAGAAAGTAAACTGTGAACCTTCCACCCTGGCGGCAGCTTCTTGGAAATCCTAGTGATGGAGTCATTGTACATCACCCATTCGGGGCATTATTCTTTCTCTTTTCAGCCTTGCTGACCACCCTGACTATCCATTTAAGGATGAATATTGACATGGAGGCATCTCCTGACTTGTCCTGAGAGCTTCTGTTTGTGTCCCCTGATGCCGAAGGTGTTCCTGGAGCTGCTCCTTGGACACATGACCTCTGGTTAATTCCACATCACTTAGCAACCTCAGGCAGCTACGCCACCTTCCAAGGTTAGGGAGTGAAGACAATAAATTTATATCGCAATGAACAAATTGAATGTTTTCCCCTGAAGTTTCTTTCTCTGCTCCATGCCTGCTGCTTGTACGTTTTGTTTCTCCGGATTCATTAGGGCCAAAGCCAGATTTGCCTAGGACTTTAGGGAGCAGAAAGTAGGAGGAGGTGATAAAAAATGATTTATAGACACTGCTGAGGTGGGGTGGTGGAGTTTCCAGCCCTGTAGAAGGAGCAGGTCGCAGGTATTTGTCAAGCAGAGTGTCTTTAGCTTTTGAGGAACAAAAAGCCACACTGCTAGGTTCTGGAAGGTAGGCGTTTATCCCAAGTGTGACGATAGTCAAGGGATCCCTTTAGGCACCAGGAATAAGGGATCCCTGTGAGGCATGGTCAGGGAGAGGTATGGGCAACAGCCCAGGAGGAGGGACTAGGAGTCATTAGCAGCCATGCAGCACCTGATTGCTTCTGTATAATTCTCCCTGAGAAAATGAAGCAAAATAAATTGCCAAATAGGTAAATTATTAATATTGACTCAGTGAGATAGGATGTAACCACTGAAAATGTGCACACAGAGTGATGTCCACAAGATGTCACAGACAAGAGATTAGAGGTAGAGATATATACTAGACCATTAAAGGCACCAAGGAGAAGTTAGGGGGGAAATAATTGAAATACTAAAGTATTCAAAGGCACTTGTGCATTTGGGGCAAACAATAATGGCACACCCTATCTAGGCAAGACATATGTTTAGAAAAGAATGAGAAGAACTAAAGTTTTAATGTTGGGCTGACTCCAAAACTAAGAACACGCCAAGCTTATAAGTTAATGACCACCATGACACAGAAAAAACACGCATAAAGTAGGAGAGGTATCTATTTTTCAAATGCCCAATTAAAAAAAAAATCACAGGACATACAAAGAAACAAGGAAACATGGTCCCTTACAAGAAAAAAAAAAAAAAACTGGCAGAAATCGTTCCTGAAGAAATACAGTCATTGAACTTAGTAGAAAAAGACTTAGAATAGCTATCTGAAATATAACCAAATTGGTAGGAAAAATATTGATAAAGAACTAAAGGAACTCCAGAAAACTATATATGAAGAAACTGATATCAAACATGTTATAGAAATTAGAAAAATAAACCAAACAAATCCTAGAGCTGAAAAATAAGAAAACTGAACAGAAAAATATACTGAGTTTTTTGTCATTATGTGTATTATTTTAATTAACAGGAAAAGCAATGAACCTCATTTTGACAACTCTATTATTTCATAAAATGAAAGAGAAATGAAAGGCAAGAGACCTGCGAGTACAAACTCTGCTTTCTAATCCCCTCCACCAGCGACAGGCATCCTCTCCCCACAACCGAGACACGGGGACTTCTGGCAGTCACATTCCATGGCTTATGGTCAATACTCTTCCGAAAATGGATAATAAGGGTGGTTGACAGCACTGGAAGAGAAAGGAAATTCATCTGTTAACGCCTTCACCACACTGTCAAAGAGCGTGAAGGTCCAGTTAGGACGGGCTCACGCTCGAGGTGCAGCCATGTCCCCGCTTGCACCCAGGCACACACACGTGCAAGCTCTTCATTCACAGGCAAACTCAGACGCATGCTCAGTGCCCACCTCAAGTACTGTAAATGCCAGAGCAGTTGGCAATTTGATTTAGGTTATGAATTCCAAGAGGGTGTCAGACCTGGCGCTACCACGTGTGGCCAATTCATCCCCAAGTATAGTCTTTGCTCTGAGAAAGGGGGTCTGGTAGCAATAAGGATCGTGCTACTCCTTGTACCCACTCACTCAGCACCCCCCTAAAACAGGGTCCCCCGGTGAAGAATTGCTAATTATGGGGAGATAAGATGTATCTCTGATAACCGGACCTATACAATGTGACTACCATTATCAAAATCACAATTTTTTTTTTTTTTTGAGACAGAGCCTCAAACTGTCCCCCTGGGTAGAGTGACATGGCATCACAGTTCAGAGGAACCTCTAACTCCTGGGCTCAAGCGAGTCTCCTGCCTCTGCCTCCCAAGTAGCTGGGACCACAGGCGCCTGCCACAACGCCTGGCTGTTTTTTTTTGGTTGTAGCCATCATTTTTGTTTGGTGGGCCTGGGCTGGATTCGAACCCACCACCTTAGGTGTATGTGGCTGGCGCCTTAGCCACTTGAGCCACAGGCACCGAGCCCAAAATCACAATTTGTAAGAATGCTTATGTTCCCTAATGAGTATTATTCTTGTTTTTCCTTTTTCTTCCATGTTCTTTTTTTTTTCTGTTTTACTATTTGTTCTTTGCAATCAAACGTCACTGAAGGGTCTCTTTTCGGCAGTGGTGTGTGCCAGGACCCATGTCACCCGCATGGCCTCACAGGTGAGTGAGACGAGGCCTCACGGTCTAACGAGGCTGATCACAGCCCGGCACTGAGAAGCTCGGGTACAGGAAGGGGCTTCCCCGTTATTCTCACTCAGACGTCTGGGTCAGAGTCCTGCTGTTCTTTTCCCAAAAGAAGAGGGACCCTGCGGATCTTTCCAAAATCTTTATTCTTATGAATAAAGCATTTTAATGCTGCTTAGTAAATCTGCTCCCTGCCTGAGGACTCTCCTTGCCCCTGAGCCCCGAGATCCCATGCTAGTGGAGCCAACACGATATTGTGTTTGTGAATAAACCACAGTCACGGGTTGTGGGGCGCTCCAGAGCTGGGCTTCTGATGGACTAATATGGCCCTTCTGTAACAGCTCTGACCTCAAGGTCAGAGAAATCCCAGCGGCTCTCATCCTGGTGAAGCCACTGGAGACCCATCAGTCTCCACCACTGGAGGATCAGCTGGCATCATGACAGTTGGCAGTTCAGCTTGGTGACATCACACAGCTGAGAAGTGGGAGCAGGGATGGGTGAAGGAGGCCATGGAGGGAGGAAGTGGATGAGCCAGGTTTAGTCTGGAGAGGACACCACGCCCAGTCCAAGTGTGCTGGCCTGAGGGGAGGAGGACACAGGACACTCGCCCTCCCGAGCCCCTTCCATGGGAATGTCAAAATCACAGCTCCGCTACTTTGGCACAGAGAGAAGGGCGGCCCCACTGGATCCCTTGCTACACGTTCATTCCTACTGTACATATTTCCTCTGATTATAACATAAAGATGGGACATTCTCATGGGCCCCTGAAAGCATCATGGGCGGTAGACACCGTGCCTTCAAGTCTAAGGGGCAGAGAGGTGAGGGCACCAGGAGCCAGGCGTGAGGGGCAAACTTCCCACGTTCCCAGACTCACACGTCTGCAGGGCAGAGCCTGAGCCCTGGAGGAAACCTGTGGTCTGAGGGCTCCAGGCGGCTCATGTTTCATGCCTAGGCGCACAGTCAGGCCCGACTGTGATTTAGGGAAGCCTGTTTCTCTGTTTACCTGCATGATACAGAAGACAACCCGTCAAACAGTCTGAAATAGTCACTTACAATTGGAATTCACTGTATCGGAAATTTCTGTTGAGGCTGTCCAGGGCCTTCATGTCCTCAGGAGTCAGCTCAAAGTCAAAAACCTGAAAGGAAGGGGAGGCTTACGTTGACCTTCCCGGGACAGCAGCTTCCACCCGGGACGAGGAGGATGATCCAGGAGGCAGCGGCAGGAGGGAGTCAGGGCACCTGGGCCTTGTCATCGGCCTGTGGTGCATGTGGCCAGACGCCTCCTTGGCCTGAGCTCTGCCCTCCTCTCCCAGCCCCTCCTGCTCTGCCCCCGGCACCAAATATCAGCTACCTTGACTTGAACTGAAAACTGTCGGGTGTTTCCCTTCCCACACCCCCTGGAACGTGACCCAGCCTCAGTGGAGCAAGTCTTGGACCACAAGACAAGCCCCCTCCCCACCCCGCCCAGGCACCTGTGGGCCTCGGGCAAAGCATTTCCTGACCAGCTGACCCACCACACCACTTGCTCACCTCGGTCCCCAGACACTGGGTATTTCCAGCTGTGTCTGCCCCTCCCTGTAGGAGACCTTTCTAACTGGTCTTTGAGACACACA